GACAAGAAGAGTCATCTGCATACCAAACTTGAGATGTGTTTGGCATTCTTTTTAGTTCTTGTATTAATGGAAGTGTTGCCAGACCGTATAATATCATTGATAGTGGATCTCCTTGGGTAACTCCTTCTTGACTATATAATCTTTGATTACTTCCTTGTAAAATTAAATCTGAGCTACATTGGTAAGTATTATAAATGAATCTTGCAGCCCTTGGCCATTGGACTCTTGCTTGCCATAAAGCATGAATTCTGTTTATTTTGTTGAAGGCATTATCTGCGTCTACCAGGATCATACACCATTCTTTGTTGGTATTACTATGTTCACTATATTGCTTTCGCATGAAATGTATTCCTCCTTCTATACCAGATTTTAGACCTCCACAAAGTTGATCTGTACCTAATGCTTGTTTTGCATCATCGCCAAAAGCTAAAATAATGCATTTGGCCAGAATGCGTCTGAGACATTCTCCTATTCCAATGGGCCTCACACCTGGACATTTGTCAATTGCAATAAGTCTATTTGCCATCAGAGCTCTTATAGTGTGCCATGGTACTACTTCTCCATTTAATTTCATCGCCAAGGTGGCTATGGCTGTTCTTAAATAAGTACTCTTTTGTCCATGACGCAATAAGAAATCTGTCCAATTTTCGGATGAACTTCCTCCTGGACCTCCACTACCATGAAGTTTTCTTGCTATCTTTTCTACATGTTCTGCTGTTATTTCTGCATTTTCAAGCTTTGGAATTTGGTCCATGCCATCTGGTAATTTAAGCAAATTAATGTCAGGAATTATAGCATTTGGGTGTTTTTCTTTCAATACATCATAAACAGTGTACAAGGTATTATCAATAGTTTCTTCTGGATTAAGTAAACCACCTATATTCTTTTTATTTATCTGTCTTGAGGCTTCCTTTATTTTACCTTTTTGAACTAATTTATTAAAATAAGAGTCTTTTAACTGTTCATATTCGTCAGAGTCAAGCTCATATTTTGTTTTCTTTAAAGATTTATCACATCGAATGGCCTCATTAATGAGTTTGTCAAATTGATTATTCTGCCATTCATCTAGTCTTCTTTCAATTAATCTTCTTATATCCTTAGCTTTTTTAATCATTTTGTCTCTTTGAAGGATAATTGCTATAAAACAAATCACTCTCTCAGATATCTCTTTTCCTTTTGCCAACAGTAATATTTCATCTGCAAGTATTTGAATAAAGTTGTTTCCTATTGATCCATTTGGTAACTCATATTGCATCCTTTTCAGTGAAATAATCTTTTCCCATCTATCATTCCATTCAGATGATTTATGATTTTGGGCTTGTGGTTGGTCATTTCCAAAAGATTTTATTAAGACATCAAGAGGATGTTTGTCAAATGATTTTCTATTAGAAGACTTGTTAGGATCATAGTTTGTTATTGATGAGTGTTTTTTCTTAAAGTGTTGTTGGAGCCTATTATTATTTTTGAAACTTGTATTGCATTCAGTACACCTATATAGATCATCTGTCAAATCTTCTATGATATTAACGTTATCCTCTTTTATGGCCCATGCTTTGGATTTTGCTAAAAGTAGATCAAAGTGTCCTGAAGTTGGATTACCAGACAATAATAAATTTACCACTGGTACTGATATCTGTTTGTCATTTTGAGAGGAAATTACAATGGGAGGTTGTCTCATAGCCATTGTTCTTGTGCATTTTTGTGGTTGTATGGGTTGTAGGTAAATGTGAAAACTAACTTGATATATTTGGGCCAAAGCAAAACATTCCACAGACGTGGCAAAAGTGCCATTTTCTCCCATCAATTTTATGTATTCATCTTTTTCTGAGGATCCAAATTCATCTAATATAAACATTTTAGCTGATTCCCAGTGTTGATCTAAATATCTAACAGTTTCATTTCTTAATTTAGTAAAGCTATTCTGATTGCCAAATAAGAATACACTTACAGCACGAAATAAGCAGTTTCCATCTTTTTCAACCTTGAAGATTGTAAAATATTGTGCAGGAATCATTCTTGGTTACTTCTGTTTATAGGTTAGGATAAAATATTTCTTTCATTTTTATCCATATTCTTCTTAAAGATAAAGTAATTTACATGATTCAAATTTAGAAATATTATGTTTAGTAAAATAAATATACTATAGAGCTACTAACAAACTGATAATTAACAAATTTCTTAAAATAATTTAGAGTGAAAAAATTGCAATGTTTTGTTTATCACAGTACAGATGCGAAGAGAAAATAAGTGAAATAAGTCTTAAAATTGCATCCACATTCCAAAAAGTCCATAAAATTCGTTAAAAATATTAATTCTATTATTTAAAAATGGCGGCCATTTTCCAAAATGGCGGCAAACTTGAAAAGTGGAAAACTGTGTATTTTATGGTCTTAATGGAATGTGGATGCAATTTTAAGACTGATTTGTCTTATTTACTCTTCGCATTTTCGCTATAAACCTACTTTTTTTGGAGCTACATGATGTAAAATGTACACCGGAAGTCATTTTTCCATAGGCTGTAACTCCTAAACGAGTGGGTTTATCGAAAAAATGTCAAGAATAAAAAAAGTCTTTAAATTGCATGTTCTATCCGAAAACATGAAAAAATACAGGGTGTTCCATAATAAATTTCAAAGTTGGCCGCCATTTTGGAAAATGGCGGCTGAATTTTGAAAAAATAAAATCATATTTTTAACTTCCACAAAAAATAAAGGAATGTCCCCCATTTAAAGTTTTCTCTTATTCTTACCGTTTCCGATATCCCAATGGTGGCCTCCTTGAGTTGATCACCCTGTAGGCTATATTTTCTAAATCAGCATAAAATTTCAAACATGTTGTAAATCTTGGAATTTGTATAGACCAAATTTTAAAATTTTTAGAAGCGTTAGAAGTTTATGGTTTTTTTTGTGATTTTTGATAAGTAAAAACTATTATCTTTTTTCTAAGTTGAATACTGTATTTATTTTTCAGCAAATACAAGTAAATTCTTATATATTTTTATTGGTTGTTTACTGCTCTAATAAAATATATGTGTTCTTTTTATGTTTTTGGTCTGTTTCTATGTGTAGGCCTAAATAGTATAAAAGTATGAAAATTTCAGAAAAATGTAGAGTTTTACAATTTTGATCATAACTCAAAAGTTTTTGTAGTAGTTTAAAATGTTTTTACATATTTATGTAAGGAAATGAATTTAGAACAATTTGTATATCTCAGATTTTTGAAAAAAAATATTTTGGTTTTTTGCAGAGAGCCATACTTTTGAAATGTAGTTTTTGATGTTTTTTCTTTTTGTTTTTTATTACAAAACTATATTTTTATAAACTATATTTTGTATTCTGTTGATATATTTAGATTCCCTGGAATGTCCCAAATCCAATGGTATATAATATTATAGGTTTGGATAATAAATAGGGGTTTTCCAACTGTGAAAATAAAATGCTGCCCAGAAGTCAAAAACTGCCTGGCCCTACAGAAACACTCTATGTGGCCGTTCTAGGGTTAAGTGGAATTTCCAACCAATATTTTTAATAATTTTTTTTATGAAAGAATGTAATTTTTATATTAAAAGAGTCTAATAACAAACTAAATACCGGTACATATACACCCTTTTTAGGGATCCAGAAATCAGAAATCCTTTATTGTCCTTAAGAAAAACAATCTTGCAATAGACATGGTCACATATTATGGTAAAATAGGGTTACACAGTAGTCCAGTCAGACTAGATTAATAAGCTAATATCACAGATAATAACAGGTAAAAATTTAAAAGTAAAAAGAAGGCTATAGGCTGGGTGGTGAATATACTAGATGAACTATTAAAACATCAAAACTTAAAAACTTTTATATCAAAAACTCTTTATCACATAAAAAGGATATAAAAGTAGGCCTATCTAAATGAAAGGGTAAAAAAAACAGTGTTTAAACACTAATACAGCCAAAAACTGATGAACGCGGACACCCAATTTGAATTAGGTACCAAGTGGTCACCACACATCACATTGTGTAGCCTACATTTTCTTATATAGTGATATATCTTTCACTTAAGGTCATGATTTCGTCCTTAACTGTAGGCATCTTAAGCCTAAATTATAAACAGATAAAACCCAGTCTACAACAAGTCAGCCTGAGGGTTCCTCAGCGAGTTAGGTAAATTGATTATCATCTTGAGATTATTGGTTCAGTAAGTTGATTAGCACAAGAATTTTAAAAGATATAGGCTATAGTGATGGTAAAAACCAGAAATTTCAAATCTCGAAACCAAAACCGAAACTTAAAAAATCGAATCCCGAATCTCAAAACCTGAACGCAAAACTTTTTAATTACCTAGTCAGGGTTGTTAAAAAATAAAAATACAGGTTCATTATGATTATGCGATTAAAACTTAAAGAGATTGACTCCTGATCCAGACATAATAACATAAATGTGACAGATAAACTTTAAACCAAAAATAACATTTTTTTTTATAAACAACTAACATTAAAATAAATGAAACTCTTTACATTAAAATAAACATGAATATTAATTAATTAGAACATTTAGTGCTCAATATTCCTTTGTGTTTAGTAAATATTGAATATCGATATGAAATTGAATTATTAGTTGTTCCAGTATTTAAGATGCTGTTTGCAGTTCAGAATACAATTTACTTGTTTCTTTAGTGTTAATGGAGATGTGTTTGCTCCATTGCTACCAGCTTGTGTGTAAACATTGTTATGGGCTAAACAATAATAATGACATAACAAATGTCATAATATTCAAAAATATAAGTGCCAAAACTTCCTATTTCGAAACTTTTGAATCTCGAAACTCGCCAATCAAATCTCAAATCCGAAACTTTTCCAAAGTTTTGATGGTTTTGAAATTTGAGATTTGGTTTTGACACATCACTAATAGGCTATCAGTTAACCCTCGGAGGGTGAACATTTTTATTAGTTGATTGCTATATTCTGATATTTAACTGCTTGCTAATATTTTAAGTTATATCTAAAAAATTTTTTCCAGGGATACAATATTCACATAAATGGATTATATCATTGCACAGTTAGATACAGACAGCTGCACAACCTTCATGAGCAACTTAAGAGGATTCACGATCCTCCTAATGTCCCTGTGTTCCCTCCAAAAAAGTTTTTACCATTGTCCTCTCACCAATTAGAGGAAAGACGATGTCACTTGGAAAAATATATTCAAATCGGTAAGTTGCCTATTCAGTTTAACTAGGACATTTGCTAAAGATTTATAACACTTATCTGTAAGCCAACTTTAATTACACAGGGTGTCCAGGCCGTCTAGAAACCATGAAAACCGGACATTTTACGTGAATTTTGATGACCAGTAAAAGTTTTGTGAATTGTAGTCTACATGAATTTTGTAAAGAACCGGAACATTTAAATGTTTGAATAATTAATGAAAAATCTACTCGTGTACCTAGCCAAAAATGGTGATCTGGGGGAAACTATCACAAATAATGGTCGTTATCGAGATTTCAAGAAATGATCAAGGCCGTTCCCGCAAACACAAGAAATCATCACAAATTTCGCAGTGATTGAAAAAATAGTTGCAAAAAGGAGTTATATTGCCGCGACCACAGGTAATTGGATCTTGGAATTGCTGCAATTGCAGGAATCATCACAAATTTTGTGGTGATTTCAAGATGCGTATACGGATGTCGTCATCACCAGAAAACATTACAGGTGTTGCCTTGATCACAAGCATATTTTGTTGTTCAAAGGTTTATTGCGGACATTTTCCATCACGAATGTAAAAAACAATACACAACGTTTCGGGATCTGGAATCTGATCCCGTCTTCAGGTGAAAAAAACTTAACTAACACATTACAACTAACAATACACAAACGCCCAACCTAAGTTGGAATACACTACAGAGGGTAGTAGTAAAAAAAAAAATACTACTGATAATCTAGTTATACAGTTTCATGAACAAAAGTACAAAATACAAGTAACAAAAGACTACAGTAGTCTGTCCCTTGCTACCTGTGCGGTCGGTCTTCTTTGTTAGAACAGGCCTGTTTTTTAAATGTCTAATTGTTTTATGTATTTTTTATTCGTGTCCGTACTGTGTTTATTTATTCTTCTGACGATGTTAACAACTGATCAACTCTTCACTATGTACCTGAAGCTGACGATGGTGTTTTAACACCGAAACATGTCCTGAATTGACATATTTTATTGAGCTGTGACGGGAATTACGTAAGTAATTTAGTCTTACATTATGTCCAACAGCTCAGGGGCTACACACATGGATTTAAATTGTGTTAGTTAAGTTTTTTTCACCTGAAGACGGGATCAGATTCCAGATCCCGAAACGTTGTGTATTGTTTTTTACATTCGTGATGAAAAATGTCCGCAATAAACCTTTGAACAACATTAACTCACCATCACCAACAATGAACTTCAAACAAAGCATATATTGTTGCGCTGATAAGTTGTGAGGGGGGGGGGGACAAACTTCATTGGCTAGAGGCGGCAGCTACTTAAATACGTCCCTGTTAGCAGTATACATTTTTTTGAGCGGCATAATTTTGAACTTGGAAATCCTGCATTTTATTTAAAGGGACGCTGGATACCCTGTAAAAATACCCAGCTTGCTACATCTGTTATGTAAGTTAAGATTATTGCTCTTTTATTGTTTTACATAGCCATACTTTGGACCAACAATCAATCAATACAAAGTTTGTTTTACTAAAATCTAATCTTCTATGTATTTTCTCTTTGCAGTTGGACAAACACCTCATCTTGCAAACACCGATGTCTTCACTGGGTTTTTACTATCAGCACAACTTGAATCCAGTGGAGAAAAAAACAAGGAGATATCATTGGAAGTTTTCTTAATGAATAACCTAAAGCTTACCGTAACATGTAATGTGAACGAAAGTTCAAGTCAGATACTGGAGGTAATTTACAATGTCATCTTTTAGCCGTATTATTATAGTAAATAAGATCTTTTAATTGCATAGGCCTATTTTAAACTAATTAGGATTAGGCCTACGTTCTAAAATCACTATGAACATTACATTATCACGATATTATTATCACAGAGGTTTGGCTTGCTAATTTGGTTTAGTTGGAAGATTTTTGTCATTTAATTTAAATCTTCTACTTTGTGAAAAAATTGATACCTTTTTCCTTTACAGAAAATATGTGGGAAACTTAGTTTACCAATTACATACATGTACTACTTCGCCCTCTTCCTGATAAATCGAGATGATGACGGAGATATAACAAGTAAGTCCTTTACACTCATCCGGGCCCTAGAATAAAAAAAAATATGACTATGTCCATTAAGCCTGAGGTGGTTATATTGGTTCCATGGAAAAATAGCCCAATTGGTCAAGTAGTTTTCATGTTATTGATATACTCCAAACATTCATAATTATAATAATAGTTCATTCCATCCAAGTCTTTAGTTGATTTCTTGATAAGTAATGCACTAAAACTATTAACATTCTATTTCGTTTCCCAGACATTATTTTTGGGGAAAAAACGCAATACTTTTTAATAAAAATTTTGAAAAAAATTAAGTTAATAAGTTGAATTTTTGTCTGTTTTTGATGGCGCGATAAACTTAAATGAGTTCGCAAACCAGCATGATCGGATTATGGGAACGAGGCTTTATAGGGGGTTTTATGGGGTAAACATTGGTTTTTCTCATTTTTTAGCCTCAAAACAACCATTTTTTAGAGCTTAAAAAACAAATATTTTAGTATATTGAAGGATTTGTTACGGTTATTGGTCACGGAAAAAATTAAAAAAATCGTCACCATAAAAATACCATGCCATTCTTATCTATATAATTAATACGCTACATGAAACTTTGTCGGTTGAACTCCTCTGCCATTTCTTAACCGATTTTATCCATTAACGTCTCATTGGAAAGAGCGTGTCGCGTAGATTTGCCAACTGGCCTTACATTTTTGAAAAAGTCCCTTGGGCTCTGCCCCAGTGGCTTTCAAAGTTCCCATGTTATCCTTATGAAGAACATAATTGTTTACATTTTGATCAGCTGTATGATTTAATTGCTGTTATTTATTTTTCAATTCAATGAAAAACATTTGAGTACATTTATTTACTATTTGAGTTTGTGTAAACATAACCCCCAAGACGGATCGTGTTAGTATGGTTGTATCTTAAATTTGTGTATTTATCGTTGTTTTGTGTCGCCATGACGGATCGTGTTAGCATGATTGTAACTTAAATTTAGGCATTTATCGTTGTTTTGTGTAGCTATAATTTGTTTATTTGTTGGTTTTTTCTTTTAAATTCCTCCGACGCGACGAAAACGAAACATAGGCAGGAGGCGTAATTGTGATAACGACCGCAGCTACAGAACAGTGGCGCGTAATAGGCTTAACTCATCACAGTCAGCACCTGACCCTGGACAACCTCAACTATTAGGTTACAAAATGCACCCTAAGACTACCGTTCTCGACTTTTCGTTCTCAATTGGCCCTCTATCAATGACCTGTGTTGCCTGTACAGCGAGGCATTTTGAGAAGGAGAAAACCGGCCAGAATGCTTTAGGCTTATCAATAACGAAGATAAACATGGTCTGAGTATGTTTATCTTACTACATCATGTCAGTTGACACTATTCAGATGTACTAACATGTACTTGTCTTGTACGAATAAAGATATTTTGATTTGATTTGATTTGAGTTACACACCGGTCATTTTTGAGTTGACTCTTTTAAACTCATTGTGTATATGACTGTTATCGTTTTGAAATAATTCCTGTAATACTTTGCAATTGCTCGAATTCGAGCAACATGTACACTAGTGGAGAATAAGTTAGTTAACTGTTTTAGTTTGCTTTTTTACGATTATATTTTGATCAAACTTGGCAAATTAACTAATATTATACCAAGCTATTGGATATTGTACTAAAAACCCCACTTTATTACCCTCCTTGTAGCAGCAAACATAAGTACTTGTTAAACATAATGTTATTTAAATAGATTCAATTGAAAACCTAATCGGGCAAATGGAAATTCGCTTAGTCTGCAGGTTTGATGCGGCGGAGGTATTTTATACTATGCCTGAAGTTATCTAATTATATGTTTGTTTCAGTTTTACGTAAGCTACAAGACTTTGAATCACCCTACATATCACAAAAGACTTATAAGGATCCCACTACACTAGTTATCAGAAAAAGGTACTTTAATTTAACTGGTTATCACTTATTTTGTTACATCGCCTACTGTAAAAATACTTCTATTTGACCTAATATAGATTATCATGAAAGTAGAACCATTGGAACCATTTTATATACTAAAGTAGTTATCAGACATCCCATTAACAAGGGCTTTAAAGAAAGTAAGGAACGTTTCCATCTGACGCTGCTGAACGTATACCGATCTTGCACTTGGAAATACATTCGTGTTCACCTCCTCAGTGACTGTCCAGCTGTCACAGTTTTGCCCATTGTTGCAGTATTCAAGTTTAAAATGTGCACTGAAATAAAAACTGCTAGTCGTGATGTGTGAGGTGTTATACTGTTGATTTTTTTTTGCCAAAAACTTAAAACAGATAGAGATTTATTGTCAAGTGAGTGAAGCATACAGAACAGAAACAATGTAATGAGTGAATGAATTAATGACTGAATGAAAGTTACATCTGAAAATACATTCAGTTAAACAGTAGGCCTATTCAATGACCACATCATACCAGTTTGCTTTTTTCAGTTACACATTTTTGAGTAAGCCAAAAAATCTAATTTGACTCTTGCTGAAAAACAGCAGAGAAATAATAAACCTCAAAATTTGCTCAATATTTTTTACCACTCCAGCTTGACCATTACTAAATTTTATATTTTAAATTATTTGTAGTTTTGTAGTTATATAATTTTATTTGGTTATTCATTGACTTGGTACAGGAAATACACAATCCTTTTGCCAACACTTAGTTTTCTAAGACTTATAAAAAAGTCTTGTCCACATAATTTTTTTGGATACCAACGTCTTTTCCGTCCTCTTTTTGAGTCAGTGAGGCAGAACTTTGAACTTTACATAAACATGATTTCCCACTTATTGACATTACTTTTTCAAATGATGATAATGTTAGTTCTGTATGCTGTTTGCAGTTACTGGGACCCTGTATATGATGAAGAGTTGATGGGAGATAAGATAGCTTTGAACCTCCTGTACACACAGACACTGGCTGAGATGGAGAGAGGCTGGATATTGTGTACCAGGGACACCCAGGCTCAGCTGGCATCTCTGCAGGCTAGAGGAGCTAAGAAACAGGTATTGTACCTACAGCAACTTGGATCATTGTAACATTTTTCAATAAATATTGGCTTTTTGTAACTTAATTTCGTTGGCTGATGATAATCCGATTTTTATTGGGAACTAGCAGAGTACCCGTCCTTCGTACGGGGTTAGCGTACAAGTATAAAATGCTTATTGCAGTTTAACTACTCAAGCTTTGCATTTGCAATGGGGGAGAACACAGTTTGATAAAATGTGGTTCTTTAAATTTACGGTATGATATAGTATAACACATCTACCACAGCCATATTGTTCTACCACTTCACCTGAAAAAAATAGAGAAAATAAATTATTAAAAATTCACAAAATTATATAAATTTGATCCATAAGCTAGGAAATACAAGAGGACATAAATAAATGAAATAAAGTCAAGAATGGAATAAAACTCTAATAATGTGATAAACCTTCAGAGTATGATGTGATGGTTCCCTGCCTCCAGGATAAATACAGAATAAATTATTCCTTTTCATGGTGTCTTACATTTTGGAATTAGGTACTTATGGTCCTAAAAACATGATTAACAGCCACTACCTCAAAAAAAAATTGTATTTCCCTACACAAATCATTTGAAAACTTTAAAGTTTAACATTGGATTTGGGTTGCCAAGTAACTATGTCGGTTGAACAAAATAGCAAGAAAAAGGTAAACAATACCCCTGCCGCAGCAAACCTGCTGACTAAGCGAATTTTCAGTTGCCGGAATTGATTTTCAATTAAATGTATTTAATTAACATTAGGTTTTTATGAGTACACAGGCTTGCTGCTGCAGGGAGGGTAAAAAGTGTGTTTTTTAGTAAAATATTAATAACTTAGTGTAAAATAAATAAATTTACCAAGTTTGATCAAAATATATCCATAAACAAGCAAACTACAACATTTTACAATATTCTCCAAAAGAATAACATGGGAATTTTAAAATAACAATTAGCCTATTTGAATTTTCTCCCTAACCAATAATTGTACAAAAGCACTTTGATATACTAAATTATTTGTTTTTAAGCTGGGAAAATAAATCTCTATAAGTTATATATATACATTTAAAACATTTGAACTTGAACGAATGGTGTTTATGGTATCTGGGGATATCAAAATGAAAAAGCAAATCGGTCCCCAGGCCTAGGTCTTACCGTGCCACCTACGGTAATAGCCACTTACCTATAGGGAAATTTGCTAAAATGACAAACTGTACAAAGCGATACATGTTTTATGAGCTCAACAACTTAACTCATTTTAACAAGTACTTAGAACTACTCTACTCGACCTTGAGCACTCTAAAAACTTGTCACTTAATAAAATAGCAATGGGATTTCAATTGCATCATTACTCCCCAGTAACAAATTTTGAAAGTTGTAAACAAACTTCTGATAGACCTAAGACCTTTATGTGCTTCTAATAGTGATGGGCCGATTCCTGAATTGGTCGATTCCAATACCGATTCCGATTCTAAAACTTTGGTTTTGATCCTCGATACCGATACCTGCTAAAAATTAATTTAACGGCACTTATAATTTAGGTGTGCTTCTCGCTATCCCTTGAGCATGTAATTTTTATTTAATCTTTATACAATAAGATACCTTATTGCTATTGATTAAGGTTACATAGATTAGGTTAGCGAAGTATCGAGTATCGGCGATTCTTCGATACCACTGGTATCGAAGGTAGGCTAACGAGAATCGGAATCGGCCCATCCCTAGCTTCTAACCATTAAACCGAAACACACTTTATATGTCTATTCTCGGTTTCGGTTTTCCCCTAAAACCTGTTACAAACCCATCTCTAGTCTCAGGTCTACTTGTTACCATGAGACCTATATACCTTATTCCCAATATAGGGAATTTGCTAAATGTGTTTCTAATACTCTGTATGTTGTGTCCAGTACTTGGAGATTGCCAGAAACCTCAAGTACTATGGCTACACACAGTTCCTGCCCTGCACATGTAACTACCCAGACCCAGGCACAGCATGTGTGGTGAGCGCAGGATACAAGGAGTTGTGTCTCCGGGTCAAGCTAGACGGTGGCGACACTCGGGAAGGAGCGTTCAAGGTCACACGCATGAAGTGCTGGCGAATCACCATACACAATGTGAGCATTATGTAGTCTGGTAGACAAGGATAACAAGGATAAAGCATTATGGATAACTGATAATCCGTTTAAGTGGAGACTGTGTGTAGTGTACTCAAGTTGTTTACCATGCAATACTAAGTTCTATGGGATATAGTCATGCTATTATCATTATTTGAACATGTTTATTGTCACATGGACTGCATTAACTGTCCTTGCGACTCTTGTAAAGGCGCTAAAGTAAATTTTATGTACGATGCTTTTTGTAATTGGTGTTTTGTGCGACTGATTTGGATTTCGATTTTGGTAAAGTCAAAGTGAATGAATATAGTAAAACAGTTTAAGAAAAGTATTTATGGAGTGTTTTGCAGGTTGAAACATTTTTAGGATGGCTGGTCCTGCTGAGACTGCCATTAAAATACATGGCTTTATTAGACTGAAAAGTCTGTATTGGACAGTGAACCACTAAATGTATGATAAACTCTTTCATTAAATAATACACATCGATAAAGGATTGTCCAAAGATATAACAACAAATATAACTTAACCCTAGCAGTGGCCAATGTTAGAAGTGTGGAATGGTCGATCCATTTTGGCGATTTTGCAGACCTTTTTTTGAAAATTCGTAAAAATTAAACCTTATAAGTGACTTCATGTTGACAGCCTCCGAATCGCTTTTTTCAATAAGTGAATGAATGGTTTAATTACCTTTACTGTCAAAGCGATCCTTGTAGTCTTAATAGGCTACTGCAGTTTCGATGACCTTTTCATGGTATCTTCTTCAGGCTATAGGGACATCATCTTCGTTCGCTTTCACGAACACGTCATTAAAACCATTGAACACACGGACACGAACACGAAACATTTAAACGACACATTAAACATAAAACTGTACAAATACTGGGACGGCAAGAGTGTGTGGTGGCGCATGCGGACGGCTGGTCTAGACTACCGGTTGTTTGTTATCAGTCCACGCACATTCTTCCCTCTCCCCTCCCCTTCGTCAGATGCGATCCTTTTTCTTTGAATTCATATCACCTATTCTGATTGCCGTTTCGTAAATGATGTTTGATTTAAAGGCTCTCTGTTCATTTAAGGTTTTTTGAGGTTCTTTTTTGACAGCTTTATAGATTTCATATTCTTCCATAGTGTCCATGAATTTACCTTTTTTACATGTATGAAGTATTTGTAAATTATTGTCTATTGATGTGTAGCTGTGATTCTGGTCAATGAGGTGGTTGGCGTAGGCGGAGTTTGATTTGTTAGATTTTTTGGGTAGATGTTCTTTAAATCTAATGTTAAATGACCGAGCTGTTTGTCCTATATAGAAGCTGTCGCAATCGTTACAATTTATTTGGTAAATTCCAGTGTTGTCCATCTTATTGCTGACCTGTGATGTTTTTTGTTTAAGAATATTTCCCAGTTTGTTTGAAGTCTTGAATGATATAGTAACATTATTTTTTGATAGTTGTTTTTTTACTGTATTGGTGAGAATGGAGCCATATTCTATGGAAGTATATTGTTGTTTTTGTAGGGTTTCCTTCTTGTTCTTATTCCTCTGTTTGTAAATAAGCGTGTCTATGATTTCACTTTTGTATCCATTTGAAACTGCAATAAATTTAATTATATTAAGTTCATTCTTATAGTCGGTGGGGCTTAATGGGATGGACAATAACCTGTTAACGAAGCTGTTATATGCCGCCATTTTTTGATTCATTGGGTGATGGGATGAATTGTGAATTGTCTGGCTGGTTGTTGTAGGTTTTCGGAATATTTTAAATTTAAAATGGTTGTTATCTCGTGTTATTGTTAGATCAAGAAAATTTAAGGATTTATCTTTTTCGTCTTCTTGGGTGAATTTTAGATTTTTATGGAAGGTGTTAAAATGGTTACACAACATTTTGAGCTGTCTTTTATTACCATTGAACAGGATGATGGTGTCATCCACATAGCGGTGGTATGATATTATTTTCTTCACATGTGCATTATTACTAGACCATATGTTTTTATTTTCAACGTGGTTGAGATATATTTCGGACAATATACTGGATAGCGGGGAACCCATGGCGAGGCCACTCTTTTGAATGAAAAATTGGTCCTCAAACCTGAAATAATTTTGTTTCAGAACTGTTGTTGTTAGCGTTATGAGTTCTTTCTGTGCAGTTTCATTTAAAGCTGAATTTTTTCTCAAATTTTCTTCCAATATTTTGATAGTTTCATCAATGGGGACGTTCGTATACAGGTTAACAATATCAAATGAGGATAATATGTAACCGTTCTTTAATTGTTGTTGGGTGTATTGTTGTACTAGGTCGGTTGTGTTTCGGATACTGTGGCTATTTTCTAGGATAGTTTCTCGCCTTATTATTTGATCTAATTTCTTCGCTATTCTGTATGCTGGAGAGGGTATAAAATTTACGAGTGGTCTAATGGGGACGTCCTGTTTATGAATTTTTGGCATTCCTCTCAAGATAGGTGGTTGGGGATTAGTGACTTTACATAATTTAATTTCTATGTCTGTGAGAAGGTGTGTTGAGGAATTAATTTTAGAATTTATTTCTTTGGAGAATTTCGATGTCGGGTCATGGGTGATCTGATCTATACCATTGTCGTTCAAAAAAGTATGTACTTTATTCCTGTAGTCATTCTTGTACATTATTACAGTGGCGTTCCCCTTGTCAGCCTTAGAGATAACGGCGTCGTTGTCGGCGAGCTTATCTTTTATGCTTGTCGCTACGTGTCTCAACAATCTGAACTTGTCGCATTTGCGTGTGCGAGGGGGGTTCTTAACGCATTTGTTAACTCTATTGATAACCATCACTCTTGCTATGTCTCTTGATTCGTCATTTTTGATACTTTTAATTGCGGATTCGGATTGTAATAATTCTGTTATTAGGCTAGATTTTCTGTTATTTGCAAAATTGAAGTTAAGACCTTTGTTGAGTAAATTTAACTCGTCTTCTGAAAATTGTATCTCAGTCATATTTATTACCCTGGGGTGAAATTCATGGGAGCACTTTATGATTTTGTTTTGTATCTGAGACTCAATCAAATGTTCTAATTTCTTTCTTTGAGTTGTTTTCTTCTTTGTAATTTTATTATTTATCTGGGATTCTAAGATATTGATAATATGATGTTGTGAGGGGTGTAAACAGTTAAGTAACTCTATATGTTTCTTAAGCAATAGTTTGTTTTGCATGCTCTTTTTGGTATAAAGGTTTTTTATCTCAGATTTAATCCAAGTTTTTTCAGCAATATTTTTTGCTTTTCTAGCGGCAAAGGATTTTGAGTTAATCTTGACATTAATGTATTTAGGTTTTACACCATGTTCTAGACATGTTTTATTAAAATTGATGTTCTCAATGGTTTTAAACAGTTTTATTTTGATATCCTTATACTGGTAGGCTGTTTTAGCTTGACTAGCTTCTAACTTCATGTTGACAGCCTCTGAATCGCTTTTTTCAATAAGTGAATGAATGGTTTAATTACCTTTACTGTCAAAGCGATCCTTGTAGTCTTAATAGGCTACTGCAGTTTCGATGACCTTTTCATGGTATCTTCTTCAGGCTATAGGGACATCATCTTCGTTCGCTTTCACGAACACGTCATTAAAACCATTGAACACACGGACACGAACACGAAACATTTAAACGACACATTAAACATAAAACTGTACAAATACTGGGACGGCAAGAGTGTGTGGTGGCGCATGCGGACGGCTGGTCTAGACTACCGGTTGTTTGTTATCAGTCCACGCACATTCTTCCCTCTCCCCTCCCCTTCGTCCCACTCTTGCCGTCCCAGTATTTGTACAGTTTTATGTTTAATGTGTCGTTTAAATGTTTCGTGTTCGTGTCCGTGTGTTCAATGGTTTTAATGACGTGTTCGTGAAAGCGAACGAAGATGATGTCCCTATAGCCTGAAGAAGATAGCATGAAAAGGTCATCGAAACTGCAGTAGCCTATTAAGACTACAAGGATCGCTTTGACAGTAAAGGTAATTAAACCATTCATTCACTTAGAAGTGAACCTAACCAACCTCATATTCCTCATATTCCCATCAAATATTTTAAATGGCCGCCATTTTGAAACGGTTAATGATTTTTTAGTATAATTTCTATTGATAATAGGTCTTAATAAGATTAACATTTTTGCAAAATATCAAAGCTGTATCTCAAACCGTTTAGGAGTTATTAGTTTTTTTGTAAAAAAACACATAAATACCGACAGTCGGTAAACTAGACACCACAGACCCATGTTCCTATGGTGAAATGTGTTTGTCTTGACCTAAGGAATAACGCTATATACAAGTGCCCAGAGAGTTACGGGACACCAAGTGTTTTACAACCGTTACAAAAGTTTTGGCCCATACTACCTAGGGGTGAGGTTCATAAGGTCCAAATTTCACAAAGTCCAATGGTTAAAATATTAATAAACAGAGCGTTTCACAAGGTCCAAATTTCACAAGGTCCAACGGTTAAAATATTAATAAACAGAGCATTTCACAAGGTCCAAATTTCACAAAGTCCAACGTTAAAATATCAAATGAACAGAGGGTTTCACAAGGTCCAAATTGCATAAGGTCCAAAACTATGACATTTAAATAATCACCGTTTCACAATGTCCAAATTTCACAAAGTCCAATGTTAAAATATCAAATAAACATAGCGTTTCACAAGGTCCAAATTTCACAAGGTCCAACGGTACAGTCTCGGCCAGAAGTCGCTGCAGAGGTTGCTGTGGTTCGGTATGTAGGCACTACACTACCTAGTGTTGTTGCCACGCGTCACAAAATATCATTGTGGGTCCGTAGATACGTTGTAAAGAATGTAAAGTAGTGGTATTCACCCCCTCCGCAGCAAACCTGCAGACTAATAGATTTTCCATTTCCCTTATTTGATTTACACTAGAATATCTCCTTAAAATAATCACATGTATTCCCTATTTAAATAGCATTAGTTGAACAAGTACCGTACTTAGGTTTGCTGCAACAGGGAGTAATCAGTAACCAGTAGTTAAGCGCCGGCGGACGGTACCTGCTATCTGACCGTGGCAACCACTGTAGAGACTTCTGGCCCAGACTGTACCATTGGACCTTGTGAAACGCTCTGTTTATTTGATATTTTAACGTTGGACTTAGTGAAATTTGGACATTATGAAACAGTGATTATTTAAATTTAATAGTTTTGGACTTTATGAAATTTGGACCTTGTGAAACGCTCTGTTTATTTGATTTTTTAACATTGGACTTTGTGAAATTTGGACATTGTGAAACGGTGATTATTTGAATGTTATAGTTTTGGACTTTATGAAATTTGGACCTTGTGAAACGCTCTGTTTATTTTTAATATTTTAACTGTTGGACTTTGTGAAATTTGGACTTTATGAAACGCTAAATACAACAAACAGGAAACCTATCAACAGTTTAAAAGCATTAAACACAACACAACAACACACATACACAAAAACTAACAATAAAAAAATAATAATAATAACATTACCCAAACTTACAACGATGCCCCTGCAACCTCAAACTCATACATTTGAGTAGTTTTGTTACATTCTAGGCGTCACGGCGAACGATCGTATTACAATTGTTGGCCACTGCTAGGGTTAAACATTTTTTTTATCCACACACTTGACCTCAAAATAAAAACAACACATAAACTCTTTTAGGTAATTCAGTTGGTCAGAAAGTAGCGCATTAGACTAAAAAACCCATGTCAGCAATGCCAAGGGTTCTTGTCCTTATGTTGCCACTTTAAATTTACTAGTACAGTTTTTACCTACAGTACGTACCTGCTCACCCCTTGTTGTGCTTTGTACTTTCCACAGACAGGCAATGAAAGCCTTTGCCTTACTTAACTGTTACTTATGGGTTAAATGTGTTTTTGTACTCAGCATTAAGACTAGAAAAAATAGTCAATATAATTCCAGGCCACAGTGGTGAATAGTTTTTTTTTTCAAACTGGTGCTAATCCCCCCCCATAACAGGACACTGAGGAGCCACAGTTGGAACTGTCGTTTGAGTACCTGATTGCCAAGGAGCAACTTCAGTGGATCAGAATCTTCAGTGACCAAGCCATTTTGATGTCTGTGTGTCTGCAATCCATGGTTGACGAATTGTTGCTGAAGAAAGTGGGTGCTAAGATCAAACAGGTCGGTGGTGTAGTAACTTACAAAACATCGTAGGTAGTTATGAATAATATCCTTGATAAAATATTTGTATAATGTATGGTGATTAGTGATGGGCCGATTCCAGAACTTTGGTTTCCGATTCTCGATTCCGCACTCAATACCTGTTATGAATTCATTTAAAATAACACATATGTGTGCTTCCACCAAGCCTTAAGCTCTTCTTCCATCATGGTCTCTAGATAAAGCTCTGGAGACGTTTTTCTTCTGTGTTTAGTCCTCTTTTCTGATGTGTTACTATTTCTTTCACAGTCTTTTAACTTATCTCATCTCACCAATTTTTCCCTCAGGCCATACTTAGCTTCTCTACATTTTTCATCCTTTTTAGTTTGGCTTTTGCACTAATTTACCATCTCTTTAATACTGTTTGCTTCATGGTTAAATGTAGCTACTTTATTTATGCTGTTTGTAAATTTAAATTCACTGAACTCAGTGTACAGATGTGAATGATTCTCTGTCACAGAATCACAAAATAAATGTTCTGCTCTAGTTGAAATGATTAGTTATTGAATGGTAAAACCACACAATCTTCTGTGATTACAGCCCACCATAAAAGCCAAGAACGGATGCTACAACTATATGAAGAGAGACGGTAGCAATCATCAGATCAGTGTTAGCCAGTCCAGTTCATTTGACTGCCTCACCAGTCCAACTGTAAGTATTGCTTAAACCACATTAAGCCTACGTTCCACGACGCTTTACGCAACGGTGAAAATGCGCGGGCTGGAGCGTCGGTGCGTGTATAGGTACACTCACGACCCGTCCCACGACGCGTGTCGCGGTGGTCTGGGGGCCACAGTAAATAGTGTACATCCGTACTACACTGTATTTGTATTGACAGAAAGTATACCTATGCAAGAGCAAATTGCTGTTTCTTTGAGATTTCTTGTCACTGGGAACAACTATGTTAGTCTTGTCATTTTTGTTCAGACAAACTGTATCAAGATGCGTCAATGATGATTGCATTGCGTTAATTGAAGAACATAAAAATGAAATAAAGGTAAATCATTTTTGTATAAAGGATATTATACGTCAGGTCACTTTACCTTACAGGTTATAGGCTGTTACTTTTATTAAAGTTAAAAGTTAAAATAAATTATCTCCACTTTTTAAAATGACTCAAATATTATTGATTAATTGATAGTGATGATAATGTTTATTTAATTTCTTACGACAACAGTTTACAAAACATGTATAACTAAATAGGACTAGCGCAGGGAGGTCCTCGCTCCAACCCGCGCCTTTGATGTTAACCCTTTCAGTGCTAGGCCAATAATTCATATTTTGTAAGACTTTTTTGTTTGCCTTTTAATTCCATTACCCGTTGTTGAATTTTAACTGTCATGTTGTCACTATTTTATTAATTAGGCTAATTTTGATTAATAACACAGTAAGAAAATATATAAGAAAGATAAATCCCGGTATTTATAGTAAACATCAAATAAAACTTAGTTTTTGTTGTAATTTTCCTGGTTTTCTTATAAATTTTTATGTTCTGATAGCATTATTTGAAACCGAAATCTCTCAAAATCAAAAGACATATAGTTTACAATGTAATATTGAATTTAACCCTGATTTAGTTGGATGAGGTTATTGTAATATAGCAATTTTAGGGAAACTAATGTTTTGCAGCAAAGTCTCAGGAACACATTTACTACTACTAAAACTAAAAGATTGCATCTAAATAGTCCGTGACTAGCTGGTGCTGCTACCTAGTATCGCATTGAACAACTATCTGCAGCGCCATCTGTTCGCAATCGGTGGCGACAGCTTAAATACCGGGTTTTGACTCCCCAGTCTTCAAGCACAGATAGCCGAGAAGGCTAGGGCGTGTGTCACTTGGCACACTGTGCCAAACTACACACTGTGTTTTTGTGTCTGCTCGGGTTCGAATCCCGTCCTGTGTGGCAAATAATTGGTGACCTGTTTGTTTGTAGCGATATACTACAACCACTGGGGCATAGTGAGGTGTTCATAATCCTTGGTTTAGACATACACCTCGAAATCATCGGATTGGGCGAATCTTTTAGCTAAGTGGTTGGTAGTGTATCCTATGAACATGCAGGTCACCAATGGCCGTTTTGCTATTTTTTTTAAATAACCTTCCTCTCTATATCCCTTAGGATATAGAGATTTTAAATATCCCTTAGGGTTTTTTTAAAACAACGATATATCGTTTCATAGCACTGAAAGGGTTAACTGACATTTTGCGGGAACGGACGCGCAACCCCGCTCCACGCCACTCTTGCGCGTACCACCACGCGCTTACCCTGTCCCACGCCGCGCAACGCTCCGTGGGACATAGGCTTTAGATTTAGCATTTTTTCACAGTACCGGTACAGTAGAACCCCTCATATTTTTACTCAGGTTTTCTAACCTCACTTTATTTGGTTAGCCTACTCGAAGTCAACTCACAGTTAGTTGACTTCTCAATTCTCATAGTTCATATCTGCTTCTGGTGTAACTCAGTATATCTATTTATAAACCATTAATCTTTTGGCTTTGGTAAAATTTACATTATAATAGCTATTTACATTATAATAGCTATTTACATTACAAGTGTAGTAAGAGCGTTTTTACATCACGCAGGTGAATGTTGTGCAACGAGCGGAAGCGAGTTGCATAATTCACCTAAGTGATGTTTTACACGCTCTTGCGTAACGTGTAACGTACAAGATTTTACCTGACCCGACAATATACATGGGTTTACGTACAATATTTTTCATCATTATCCATTTCACTCATCTTCTAACAGTAACGTTCTTTTACAAACAAAAGCTAGGTTAGGAAAATTTTTTAAAGCATAACAATAGGCTAACATTCAAGCGCACAGCTGATTTCTAGCGTTGAATGTCGTTGGCTCCATAGAGGTTTATTTTTTAAGTTATGCACTCAATGTTATTTAAATGGATTTCCTTACATCACCGAGTGAGTTTTTGATACTTTACATCACTCGAGTAGTAAGGAAGTTGTATACACCACGCTTGGGATAGGGAAGTTTAACATGGCGGGTTAGGTAAACATTGTTTGTTACAATGAGTTAAAATAGTTTTAAAGTGGATAAGTACCGTAACAAAGAAATTATAATTTTGTTTTTTACTGTAATTATAATAACAGTAGTGTTCGTTTATTTAACTTGGGTTTGTTTACCTTAACAGTATACTTAATTGTTTAATGAAGTTTGACCAAAGAAAATACATTTCTACGAGTTATAAAATATGTGAAACAACTATTCATATCTTGCCTGAGACTTAACTTACTAGCTACTGTCATGGAGTAATATCTTTTTTCCTTCCCCACTCCATCCACCCTTATCAAAATCTTACACTTTTCTGTGAACTTTAGCTAACCTTCCTATAACTTTGATATCTAGGCTACTTCATATTTCTAATTTTATATTCTATTAAATTAAGTTCTTCTACATACCTTTGTAGTGGAGAATAATTCATGTGAAAAACCCCTGACCGTGACATTGAGAAGTCATGAATTGTTTCCACAATTCATCATGTAGGAATTTTTGTGTAGTTAAAACTCTGAAATAATAGTCTGTTTTTACAAAACAATATAGGCCTAATAGTTATAATTTGTATATAAAATAAAAATAGAGAAACATGTCTTTAACATGTTTGATAAATGAAGATGATGAGAATATAATTTGAACATGTAATTTTTCTGGTATTTCCTAATTTGTTACGTTGTATGGATTAGTTTCCATTGTTAATATTTTACTAGGGTCAAGTGGGGTAAGTGGAACCAGGTTTTAGCATAGTTCTACTTTGACCTTACATTGCTCCTGGTTGTATTATACTTGTAATTGTGAAGTTGTTTGTACCATAACTACAACTAATTAGCTTTTTAAATAGACAATAACTAAAAAAAAGTTTCTTCCTTAAGAATAAAAATAAATAAAAAAATTTTTGTTTTGTGGTTCTAGTTGCCCCACCATGGGGGCAAGTGGAACTACCCACATCTGAATTAAAATATATTGCATTGAGAGGAATGAGGGGCAAGAGGGTCAATAGGGAATATTTCTGTAACTCTGGGACTTTTTGAATTATAAAAATAGCTCTATCCGTTTTTAAGTTACAAACTTTTTCGTAAACCTTTGCTGAAAACATCGTAAAATGCAAAGAAACGTTAAATTGCAAAATCTTGTAAAAATAGGAAATTATAACAAAAAATTTACTTGCATTGTGTGTGGTTGTAGTATAACTCTTTGGGCACATGGTTCACTTGTAAAAAATATTATTTAATGTATAGTTCAGTTTTTTAAATCTAGCTCATATTGTTATGGTCAGTTAGTGAAAAAAACTCGTCTTCTCAGCTACTAGAACTGTTACTAATATTCCACTTGCCCCACCGGTAAAATTTTAGGGGGCAAGTGTAATCACGGTTGTAAAATCTACGTTGTAAGAAATTTAGGCCTAATAAATTTGAAGTGATATTCATATTCTGAATCTACATGCAAACAATAGTTAGTACACAAAATATTGTTAAATTTACTTTAAAAATGTAATTTTAAAAAATTTCTAAGTTTGACCTCTGAATTTACATTGCAAGGTCGTATGTAAGCTTTTATTTTTTTCAAAACTGAAAAAGTACATTTTTTCATATGTTATTTAGTTTTTTAAGGTTAAGAACCTTAAAACAAGGTCCAGAGAACACAATATAATGGCAATTAAGCTGAAACTTCTCTTATCAGTTTATTGATAAGCTGCGGTTACACTTGCCCCCTGGTTCCACTTACCCCTACTTGACCCCATGGATAATTCTACCCTCTAAGGAAAAATATAATCGTAATATAATACAATAAAAGGTCTTAATGAATTTGTTTGTTTGCCGCAATTTAGATTCTTGATCAATTTTCAAAATGCCCAATATAGTCTTTTTTTACATTTGTTACAGTTGATCTTGTATTTGACATTATGTGTACAATTTTAGATAATTTTAATTTGAAACTATGATTTTAAGAGGTTGATAGTTTAGTCTATTACAATATAGATAGTAATAAACGATTATTTCAGTATTTCAGAGAGTCCAAAGTAATTATTGTATAGGACTACTTCTTACTATTGTAAGAAGTATGTAACAACTAGAAACTGTACATAGACTCCCTCTTATCCGGACACGTTTTAACCAGACTAAACTCGGCAGAAATTACATCTCTTTAACTGTAGTATTTTTATCAGCAGATCGGTTTAACCGGACTTGATCGGCAGAAAGTGGGTAGTACTGAAACAACTGTTCTCGTGGGAAGGATTTGAGACCAGTGATCACAAAGTCTAAATACAATGCTCTCCTAAATTTAAGTCAAATACGTATATACAGTATGCATTTAAATGGTACGTTTTAACGAGTTTTTGGAGATTTCGGTTTAACCGGAAAATCCATTATCCAGACTGGCCTCGGTCCCGAGGAGTCTGGATAAGAGGGAGTCTACTGTATTACTTTCACAGTCATTTAAAACACAGTCCTGTTGAGCTGGTATCATTCTGTTTGTATGTTAGAATGGCCTTTCGCTGCTTCAATTGATTTTCAAAAATGATTTTTCAAGGACCATAGTCTCTCAGAACTATTTTTCTACTATGCAAAAGACTCCTTCAATTTGCATGTTTATATTTGGTTGAGTTTTGAATCTACAACTTATGCAAGAT